TTTTTTTAGGAGATATAATGTTTAAGCAAATGTACAAAATGTTTGATTTAGCTTGATATCCCAGGGGTCAATGGAGTATAGCATACCTATCCATCTATTTTTCAATATGTACAATGGGAAAATATTTTTTATAGCATGATATATAATATTTGATATTTATAGACTTTCTAATAGATATGTAAGAAAATCCAATAGTCCCTGAGTATGTGTATCTGTGCTTCCTACATAAAACTTAAAAATCAATTTTTCTACGAAGTTAAGCGTAGAGCATCTCTGGATAAAGAGAAACGAATAAAGCAATTACCCGGTCCTTCTCTCTGGACTCTGACGTGACAGGCAGACACCTTTAAAGTAGACAGACACCTTCAAAGTTAAGACAATCTCTAGAAAAAATATCTTTCGGATATAGAACAAACTATATATATCTCTTACAATTTCAATATGCAAAAATAAAGAAAACCACGAAATACAATATCAGATCTATACATTAAGAAAATTTCATACCAGATGATGTTATATATGTTATAATCTGATCACAGAACTTAACAATTATTGACCTAAATCATTAAAGAAACACAGGACAGCTCGGTAAAGAATTGATGTTTAAACAGCAAATAACATCTCAGAAACACATGTGCCCCCCCCCCCCCCCGAATATTCACCCCGGGTACACGAATATTTTTATTTGACTTCTTACATAAATTATTCTTCTTGCACACATTCACAATGTATTCACTATGGAAAAAGCATTTAAAAAACTGCGTCAGGGGTTATGGTGTTGGAAGGGGAGGCTTCTACTGATTATATAGTGACAATGCATAAATTCTGTAAAAATCTTCTTCTCTTCTCCTGATCATTTAACAGACAAACTAAGTACATGGTTATGATGAGCAAGAGTGTCTCTTCCAAAATTGTGAATTTCATAGCTCCTGGTCATGGGTCTGTTGTAAGGGCGGAGCTCTATTCACTATATAGTAAAATTTGCATTAATTTTTTGAAAAGCATCTTCTCTGCTCTTGTAAACTGAGTGTATAGTTCTGATGAGCAGGGGTGCTTCTTTTTCTGAATTCTGAAATTTTTGGCATCAGAGTCAGGGGTCTGGTGGGGTGGGGTTAATTGATCATACGTATAGTGAAAATGCATAAATTCTTTGAAAACCTTCTTCTCTGCTCCTGGGAATAAGCAGATAAAGTAAATGCATAGTTATGAAGAGAAGGTGTGCCTCTTCCAGAATTGTGAATTACATGGCCCTGGGTCAGGGCTTCAGATGTTAGGGTGGTGTTCTTTTGATAATATAATGAAAATGCATTAATTCTTTAAAAAACAACTTCTCTGTTCCAGTGTATTTAGCAGATAAACTGATTACACATAATGATTAGCAAGGTGCCTCTTCTAAAATTGTGAAAATTGTGACGCTAGTGTCAGGGGCTCTGGTTTGGGGGGATCTATTGATTAGATAGTAAAGTGCTTCATTTCTTTGAAAATCTGGTTATTTCGCAAATAAACTAAATGTATTTTAGTTATGATCAGCAAGTGTGCCTCTTTCACATTTGTGAATTTCACGGCCCCGGGATTAGGGGCTCTGGTGTTAGGGGTGAGCTGTGTTGAATCTATATTGATACTGCTTTATTTCCTTGAAAATCTTCTCTGCTCCTGGGCATCTATATTGCAAACATAGTACAAAGTTGTAATAAGCAAGGATATTTTTACCAGATTTTTAAAATTCTTAACCACTTGATACAGTGTTCTGGTGCTCAGGGAAGGGCTCTATTTTGTATTCTACCGAGAGAAATTACTCCCTTTGCCATTCACCTATCATAATGAATCAATGTAAATAATGTAATTCAAAGGTCAATTGAGTAAGAGAAGTACATATATTTTTATAGTATATAATACAGAAACTACTTTCTTAGTTTTTAATGATAGACTTGTAAATAATCAATAAAAATTAGACATAAATACTTTATCTTCCTACGTTTAATGTTCTTCAAAGACCAAGAGAGGCTGATGTGAAAAAGAGTGAGATTGGCTTATTAATAGCACTCAAGCACTATTGTTTTGTCTGCATGGTGATAGTGACAAAGTCCAGACAAGCAAATACAGCTACTTTCAGATTTGTTACTGAGTACTAGACAAACCATTTTGTTGCTCCCTGATCATGCTATTTCTCTTGCTTTTGGGCAACAAATCTTCAACTATCAATTCATTTTATTTTATACTTCTGTGGATCCTTTACAGCGTTGTATTAAGATTAAATGACGATTAAGGCCCTTGGGCTATTTGTTAGTACATATGACGTGGAAGCAAAAAATGCTTCCTTCATTTTATAATGTAAATTGGGAAATATTTTACACAACTCTATAAAATATTTTACACAAATCTATAAAATATTTTACACAAATCTATAAAATGTTTACAATGTGAAGCTGAATTTACTAACATGAGACAAACAATATGTTCAATCACTTATGCATAGTGACATCAAATTAATACCCCCCCCCCCCGAAAAAAACCCAGCTGTTTTAAAAAAATTAAATTGTCCGCGAGGCAAACATTTGTCAGACACACCATCTGATATAATACAAGCAGTTTTCATGCTAGGTCTATATGGTTTATACACAGTTTTGAATAATTGAGAACATGATGACTGAACACTGAAATTCATGAAATATGTTTACGTTCTTTTAATATTAATAATCATTCCAATTAAATTCCCCAAACAACAAAAATGAATGTTTATCAAAATTTTTAATATTGAATTATATAGATTTTATCTTTTTTTCATTCCAGACTTAACGTCATGAAATTATGTTCAGTGACAAAGAACAAAATACGATAGTGAAGATATATGTTTAAGTTTTGATCTTTTTACTTGAACAATAACCGAGTACTCGAGTACTCTGTCGAAAAGACTATATATATATAATACAAGCAGAGCCTAACATGGCGAAAGGGCTTGCAGAAAATATTTTTTTTTATTTAATACACCCAACAAAACTGTACCGGTTCTTCATTTTGTTTTTGAAATTATATATATATATATTATATATAATATATCAAAAAGAAAAGGATATGTAGATAGATGGAATCAAACACAATGGTGCATTTTTTTCGATCGGTTATATGAATTCGTATCTGGAATGAATCAAAGGAACCCAATTTTTGAGCGAGTTTGGTCGTACTTAGTAGAGAGTGCTGTCAGCCGTTTTTGAAAACAAAGTATCCATAGCCTTTTCTTAGTTCTTGTAATTACAAAATCATGTAAATTGATGTTACAACAAAATAAGTAAGTAGACAATTGGTCTACCCTTAGAGCTTCAATCATCTTCAGTCATTGATTCATGGGTCGTCTGTTTGACTAAATTTGTGAGTGATTGATGATGCTTGCTTCAAACTTTACGACATAGAGCTAAAATCAAAAATCGAAGATCATGCACAGTAATGAATGAGGGATTGGTATATGTATGACAATAACAATGTAGACGTATTAAAATTGGAAAATCAGTTTTCTTCCTTTATAAAATGTTCACTTTCAACAATGATTTGTCTATGTTATTGTCTCGTACGGTACACTAAATACGCATGGTTTTTAGTTACGGATTTTTATCCCCTATTAGAGGATAGTTCACCATCAATGTAAAGACACGGATTAGAAGAGCTGTTATTTTCCTGTCCTTCCGATGAAAAATACCTGTCCATGCAAGGGCCATATTGTTTTGTTGTTAAAATATAATTAGGGATGTCAACGAATAGTCGACTATTCGACTATCAGTCGAATGGACGACGATCGAATAATGAAACGACATTCGAATATTATTTTAACTAAATAAATGCAATAAATGAGTGATAAATGAGATGGAATTCTCATAAAAAAAAATGAGAAACAGTCTTTTCTCATAGACAGTCGATAATTTTCCTCAACAAAAACCGGCAGATTTTCCACGTACGTATAGAAAGTACAGCAATTATAAGTGCTTCACTACTGCGAGAATTAATTGTCAGTAACTGCCTGTGTTGTTTTTGTAATAAATTACCAACCAATATAATGTGCTTTGTTTGTAAAATTATTAATTGGACTTGATCTTATACCATGTACCAATTATCTTTTGTTATTTTAAGTTTGCTCAAATGCAAGGAATAAACCTGTTTTGATACATCGATAATTATTAAAACAATGCACTTACATTTTAAACTGTTTGAGGACATTTTGATAGCCCCCCTCCCCCCCCCCTCCATTTTATTTCATAATAAGGTTTAAAAAATATCGGCTGGTATTTTTTTAATGCTTACTAAATAAAACATGACTGCATGTACAGGCCGATTTATCAATTCTATTTACGGGTAAATAATAAATTTTGGAGAATTAGGTTTCTAAATTCATTTCATAGAATCATGCTATCCAGCGTTGCGTTGCATTAATTTTGATGTTACTTTTTAAATAGATTTAAGTAAAAAAGTTTCTGAGTATGTACCAATGAAGTACGAAATAAAATTTTATTTTCAGAAAATATACCGAATATTCGAATATCGTTCGAATAATGCAACCGAATGATCGACTAAGGAAAATAAATATTTTGACATCCCTAAATATAATATATAAAATCTTCAGCTCTAACATCTTTGGCTCTAACATATCATATAATATTTCTTGTTTCACAGGATTTAATAGAAGATGAATGTGACATTGCAGTCAGTCATTTTTAAATTTTGTTACAGTCTTTACATAATCTGACTTAATTCATATGCTCCCAAAATGTGAAGATTTTTCCTCAATTAACAAATTGAATAATGATTATGTATACCTTTTTTATGTCAACATACAAGACACTCTTGTTATAGATTATTTTGTTTTTTTGCCCAACATTGCATCAAAAGTAAAAAAAAAAAGTTTCACATTAATTTTTAAACCTTGTGTGTTCACTATGTCAGCTCTAGCTCTTACGTACGTCGACTGACAATTATAATTTTTTTTTTCAGAGAGAATTGAAATTGTTGGAACTATGTTCCGTAAGAAAGACGAGGAAGAAGAAGAAAATGGGAAAAATACCAAGGTACGACCTCAAGGGAAAAAGAAACTCGAGGTCCGAAAGAAGGTATACTTATTTTACTTAATACTCTGAAACAACAATTTTATGGAGTATCTAATTTTATATTCAATTGATTCCAAGGTTGCAAAAACTTTAAAAACAGTAACAAAACTCATTTGTGAAGCTCATATTAGATAAATGCAAGCCGACCTCACAACTTTAAGTGTTGAAATTTTTTTTAAATGTGGTAATGAATCGGTGGTCGAAGTAATTTTTTTTCAAAAGTATATTGTCTGTGATGATTTTTTTCTTAAACGCATAGCTTATTGAATTAAATGCATGTATATGTTTGTAGCTATGATGACCTAATTACATCCACACTTTCTAAAGAAAGTTAGAGATATTTTGCTTTATCCCGGTCTGTGTATCTGTTAAACTGTTTTCTATCCGAAACACCTTTTTCATTTTAGGACTAGCCAATTCATGTTTAGAAATAAAATTGGTGGTGTTCTGTAGATATGCTATAGGGTTTTGTTGTTCTCATTTCATCCTTGGTGCCAATTTGGGGTTGAAAAACGATGTTTATCATAAAAACCTGATTCCCAGAACTCCTTACATTTTTTTTTCGCAGTGTCATATTTTCTTTTTGGAACATGATTGATGGTGTCCAACAGATGTGCAATATGGTTTTATCACCTTCGGGAAAATTGGAAACCGAAAAAGACATTTTCTTCGAAACCTGGTTCTCAGAACTCCTCTTTACAATTTTAAAAACGCAGTGGTGTGCTGTGTATAAGGTTTCCGAATTTTTACTTTCATTAGGGAGCTAACTTCATACACATAATATACCCCCAAAACACCATTTCTTTTTAAACAAAATCCTTTTTAGACAACAGTCATACTTCATTAAATTATATAATTTCAGACTAATAATAAATTTAATACATGAAATACTGAAATCAGAGGCACTATACTTACTTAAGTATTTTATGCTCAGTCAGGTACACATAATTGGAACGGAAAAATAGAATTAAGATAAAAACAAGATGTGTTTTAAAACACTGATACCCCTTATGGCAGCTCAAGGCCAAGGTTTAAGTTTTTCAGATGTAGGTCACACTCCAAGGTCAAGAGTTCAATGATGTTGATACCCAATGATGTTGAACACAAGGAATACACAGGTGAAAAGTAATCACCCTTAGACCAACCATTAAGAAAATATTGCCAAGCATAAAGTTTTCAAAAAGTAGAACATACTCAAAGGCAATGCCATGGAGTCAAAAATAATGCTACCAAAGGAGAGGTCTTATTACAAAGACTGCATAAGTGATATATGAAAGCCCCGGTTGCAACCGTTTAAAAGTTATAAACAATGTTAAAGTTTTTTTTTTCAAATGTAGGTCAAACTCAAAGTCAAGGTCATGAGGTCAAGATGTTGATACCAAAAGAAAGGGTTTCATCACAAAAAATACTTATGTGTTATATGAAAGTCGGTTCAAAAGTTATGACAAAGGTTAACGTTTTTCAAAAGTAGGTCAAACACAAAGGTGAAGATCGATAGGTCAAAAATGTTGGTACCCAAAGAAAGTCTGGACACATGGAATATACTGTCTTTTTTACTTTCGAATATTTTTCACCGCGAGCATTTTTTTGTCTGGTGTTTCAAAATGATAGTCGCTTATGGATTTCAAACTAATAGCGAAAAAACTTGTCTCATAAAATAAGGTTGGTTTACAGTACATGAATTTTGAAAGAATGTCTTTTAGCTCAGATAGATCTGTGGCCAAAGCTTTCCTTAGTTCCTCTTAAGTTCCTTTAAAGGTCGGGATAATGGTTGTGAAATAAAACAGCTTTGTAAGTATAAATATTTCAGGCAGATGCATGATCTTGGCTTTGAAATAAATATTTAGTACAAATACACGTATTTTTCACATTCTGTGTGGTCATAGTGAAAGACTGATGTATATTATCGTGTGATCTTTAGTACTGGTCAACTTTTCATCGTGTTCTCTTCAGCACTGGTCTCCTTCCCAGGTAAAACTGCAGACAAAATCGTCATTTTCCCTTATTTGTCGATTAATACTTTGATAATAAGCAACACAATGACTAGCGCCATGAGCTCTGCTTAGTGATGCCTATATTGGCAAGTGATACCGGTATATGTATTGTGTTATTTTATCCGTTGGATACATGTACTTTAGCTTTATTTTAAGAAAAACATGACTTTAAAGCTCTTGAAGACTCACAATTTTGATATCATAGTTAGCTTCAGAGGACTTAGTCGTAGAAAAAAATCCTTGGTATATCGAATGCATGAACTTTGTGAATATACCTGTACTTAGATACAATAATATGCATGCTGAATAATATCATAAAAAATTCAATTGTACATGTGAATGCGTGGAATATTAATTACGTGCAAAACTAGGATATTGTTTACTAAAGTATGATTCAGAATACCCTCGCCTGTTCACCAGAATTTCTTGGATCTATTAATCCTAATTAAAACCAAAAATGAACAAAAAAAAAATACATTGAAACATCTATGAAGCACAACTATAAATATCTCACGTAGCTTAATTCAAAAGTTTTAAGTACACTCTTTTTTGCTAAGCATTTTAAAACATTCCTCTAACTTTGTTATGAATGTGCTTTTATATAAGCTGGAGTTTTTACTTAAATGTGTTTTTTTCAATTGTTTGTTTTTATTATATTCCTTTCAGAAATTTCATAACAGTACATTTGAAAATTGCGTTTCACTCTCTTCTCTGCCTAAGAATGGTCTTATCAAGTCTGTGTGAAAGCAATAAGCATATTAAGTCTTTGTGGTGATGACTATTCACTTTGCAATATGGAACATTTCAATAACGTTATTGATCAAAGTTGTCTGATTGCAAAACGGTAGATTTATGTTAAGAAGCAAAAAAAAAAAATCTTTTTCTGTCAGCATATCAATTTTCCCTATATAAAACTCATCGTTGATCTCTGAAATCTGAACATTGTCGGATTGATAAATATTCCTTGTGATGCAGTATCACTAATGAGTATTCTGTCTGTCAGGAGAATCGAATAATAATTCCTCTTATCTGTACAATCATAAAGCATAGGAATTGTTAATGCAAGCTTGTGTGACATACAGGTGTGGTACGGTGCGGTTCATCCTAGCTGAAGAAGCACTGAACATTTATCAAAATGTCATTTTACAGTACTCATAGTCTGTATTCATTTACTGGAGCGTCTTCTCCACGGATAACACGGGTAAGGTTAATTACATTCACAATATTCACCCGTAATCAGAGATGAAGTTTTTATTGAAACGTAATACTAATATGTGATATTTGATACTTTCTTGTCTTGTTAAAGGTTTTGACGAATCTTAATAATATTCATATCTAGTGGACATAAGTGTCATATTGTAATTTTTGAATTTACCATATTGTAATTTTTGTATTTACTACCACCCGGTAAATTCAAAAATTACAATAAAAGATAAGGATAAAAAAGCTCTGCCTATTGTCTGTTGTGCTGGACTCGTTTTCATTTCGATTAAGTCCAGTAATATGGGCTTAAGGTCATAATTGGAATTTATCACCTTCAACGCATTAAATATAATAAAATGTCTTATCTGTATTATGTGTATAAGGAAATGAAATTAGAAAGCATCTGAATAGTAATAAAGGAAACATTTAATATCGGTCTTTAAATTGGAAACGAAAAAAATATTAAGAAAAAGGATTATATTCCTAAATTAAATAGTTTTAACCATATAAATCACTTTCATAACCAGTCATAATTTAGTTTTACAACCTTGAATACTATGCAATGCTGTAAGCAGTTCGTTGAAAATTGAGTATTTTGAATTTTCTTTGAGATTGATGACGAACTTTACAGTTAAGGAGGGATTTCTCCCATATTCATTGTATTCAAAATTTAATATTAACATTTCTATGTATTTTGCTTATAAAGTGAGAGGAAAGCTACGTCATTCAAAACACCATAACACAGACAGAGGGTCAACAGGTTAAAGTATGTGTTTTATATTGACGTCAGCAAGGTAGTCAGGTCAAGGTAATTGTTAACTCCCTTTAATATGATATCACATAAGATCTATCAGCTATTGCTACCAAACTGAGATAACAAATTCAAGTAAAAAGATATTGGTTAGCCCGAGTTTCCTCTGATTTTCTTAAAATTTCAAGGAATATTTGTTGCTTTCTATGCCTTTTATATATTTATTATTTTTTTTAATTTCCACATATGTTGGAGTAGTCATATAAAGCTACAAAATGAGACAAAAGATAGAAAGAAAGAAAAAGATCGTTAAATAAGAGAAAAATAGTTGTAGTTACTGATTTTTTCCCCACTCAAATATGTTTATTAATTGGAAGCTTACAATGCTAACAAGATTGTAATTGTTTGGAAAAAATATTTATCTATTATTTTCTAAAACTAAGGTCCCTAATTACTGGTATTAATTTCATAACTTAAGAAAATCCTTTAAGCCTTTCATTGCTTAAAATGTGAATTACATTTAGTGCATTTTTTTGTGTTTTTTCTTTTCGTAGTAGATTTGAAAAGCAGAAAATGTTATATTTTCCTAAGCCACTTTCTGCAAATAAATTTTGATTTATAAGAACATATGCTTATATCAACGATTCTAACAAAGGGAAGATAACCGTGAAAAACATTGGGACCGTAGGCTTTATCTCCGTCTGTCTGTCCGTCACTCATTTTGGGGGCATAGTTTGAGGTATGGTATTGAGATTTTGTACCCCATTGTATATAAAAGAGTTTGCATTTCATCAGATATGACCCTTTTCATCGTAAAAATGATCCTATATATCGACTGTAAGTTTGAAAAAAAATATTAAAGGTAAGCTTTAAAATTTGTAATTGTTGTCTGGTACTATACTGCGTGTAAATAATTTATTTGGCAGTTGACCATTAGAGGTCATGGCCCTATTTATTAAACATCGGCAAAAATTGTGTGTTTTTACAACACTTTGTAATACTGAATTGAGATTTGGTGAACATCAGGAATTTTCAGAGTACATGTACCCAGTATCAGCCTCAAGTAAAGTACATACATTTCAAAGATGTTTTTGTCTGTTCGTTTAAAAATGCAATATATATATATATATATATATATATATATATATATATATATATATATATATATATATATATATATATATATATATATATATATATATAAAGAAACACGAAAACATGAACATGGCTACAGTGATTCGATGATCAAAAGTCACAGTTTAGAGATAAATCTTATGAAAGTATTCTGCAATAAATACCGGTAGTTTTCTAAATCGTTAATATATAAAGTCTTAACTTCACTTCTCCTTTTCCATAGCCATTGGACTTTTTTACAAAAAAATTATGAATATTTTTTTTTTCAAATTCTCATTAGAAAACATAGTAAATTATCCTTTATATAAAAAATTATTGTTTATATAAACAAAGATTAAAGGGTGGTTGATATTTTTTCTTGGTGGCAAGTACTTTGGGAGAAGGGCCACTGATCTCCAGGGGAAATCTGACCAAATAGATGCTCTTCCGCTTCCGGGAAAAGAGTATGAAGGGTCGCATGGGCATATCAATAATTTTACAAGTACACATTACAAAGCCTCTTAAACAATCGGCAACACTGAGTCGAGCTTTATATGAAGCACGAGTCACTGTATTGCTAATTATCAAAGTATTAAACGACAAGTAAGGGAAAATGACGGTTTTATGCCCGAATTTTTACCTGAAAAGGAGAGCAGTACTGAAGAAAACACGATATAATCTGCACCATGAGTCTTTTACAAAGAGCAGATAGGATGTACAAAAATACATGTATAAATTATAACCTCTTTCATAATAAGATACTGTATTAATTTTAAAACCATGGGCTGGGCTGAGGAGGGACTTACCCACAGAACCATATGAGATTCAAAATTCAAGTACTTTATTATACCTCCAATTAGAATGAAAGAATCTGATTGGTTGATGAGAAAACATTAAAATTAGCTTATGACCCGTTTTTGTGTCACATGACCATTAATGACTTGATTGCTGCATGTGTATGAGATATTGTCTGGTCATTAATATTATTGACCGCTGAACCTGACCTGTGCAGAAAATAAAAATGGCGGAATATATGACCGCTTCGTTTTTTCTTCATATTTACTGTACCGTTTTTAGATAAAGACTATAACTGTAAGTTATTCTTGAGAAATAAGATATGGACTATAAAATTGTGTACTACGTCACTTCTCATGTGTAATTTGTCGTCTGTTTACAAAAACGATGGCTGGCGAATCGAGGTTTGCAAGTCTGACAAGTGAGGAACTACAAGCAATCCTAGAAAACCGCGATAGTTCCAACACAAAACAATGTATAGACTCAGCGAAACGAGTGTTCATTACATACTGCACTGAAAAAAGGACTGATTGTGGACAACATACTGCAAAAAACAAAAGGTGAAATTGCTGAAATTCTGATCAACTTTTACGCTGAACTCCGAAGAAAAGATGGTGAATTGTATAGTAGATCTTCCATGATCAACATCAGGTTTGGTTTGCAGAGATTTTTCCAAAAAATTAACTATGACATTATTAATGACCCAGATTTTCGTCTATCAAACGAAATGTTCAAGGCAGTTTTGACCAACATCAAACGAACTGGAAAGGGAACCACTCAACACAAGGAAATTATCAGCGATGCTGACATGGCAACATTGTATAGTAGCGGCGTCCTAAACGGAAACAGTCCACAGGGATTGCAATATAAAGTTTTTCTTGATGTGATGTTCTACACATGTAGAAGAGGAAGGGAAAATCTGAGAAGTATGAAGAAAACTGATTTTGTTTTGAGGACAGATGGCCAAGGAAGGAGGTATTATCTTAATATCGCTCAGTATGAAACCAAAAATCACAGAGGAAGTGACGTGAATGACTATGATGCATCTTCAGCAAGAATATATGAAATACCAGGTAATATACTTCTTGAAATACATGTAAAATAAAATTAATGTAAACTTCAGTATTAACTAATTTAGATCATATATTTGTCTATGTGACATAATTTTCATGAATTCAACTGATTTACAATTTTTATATTAATATGTCCATGTAGGTGATGAGAAGTGTCCTGTGTCTAGTCTGGAGAAATACCTCGGAAAACTGAATCCAAATTGTGAAAGTTTTTGGCAGAAACCGAAGCGCCATATCAACGATTCAGATGCTGTTTGGTATGACAATTCTCCAGTAGGTCTTAATACTTTGGGAAATTTTATGAAAACAATATCTATGAAAGCCGAACTCTTAAACTCTGTATACAAACCACTGCATACGTGCCACGTGTATTACTAATTTGGATCAGCGTGGGATAGAAGCTCGACACATCATGTCTGTCAGTGGACATAAGTCCGAAACTTCCATAAAAAGCTATTCAAGATGTGTAAGTGAAACAAAAAAGCAAGAAATGTTTGATGTATTGTCATCTATGGTTTACCCATCACCAAAGCTAGGGCTAGAAAACCCAGTTGTTCCAACAAATTCTTGTACCAGTACTTCAGAAAGTCAGCTCTTAAATTTGAATAACTGTGAATTTGAGACTGTCAGTACCAAACAATTGCTATCTGAAGTCCTACATGATGAAAATGGTTCAGATTTGTTTGCAAATGTTCCAGAAGAAAAGGAGAATGTTAAAGTTTACCAAACGCCTCAAAACTCATGTGGCACATTATTCAAAAATGTCGGTCAAGTGCACATTCACTATTACATGGGAAAAGAACGACAAAAGTAAAGATACTGTAAAGTTCTTTATTGGACTCTGTAAATCAATTAATGATTCTAAGATGTGTTTTTTCACTTTTCAATTGAACATTTAATTTCAAAGTTATTGCTGCTTAAATCGTTATTTCAGAATATGCATTATTCTGTTGAAATAAAATGTTACATATGTGTTAAAATTTATTATTATTATTATTGTCGGTATAATAAAACAATTGATCACCCTTCATGAGGTCAGCATGGTGAAATGATGCCCCTTGACCTGACCCACTCGATTACCTGACCTGACCTCGGCCGTTGGCCTCGGTCAGGTCAGGTCACCTCGTGGGTCAGGTCTCGGGGCATCATTTCACCATGTTGACCTCATGAAGGGTGATTAATTGTATAATATTAGCATTGATCATGTCCACCATTTATCACGAGGAAAAATTCTGTCATGTTTCGTAAGAAATTTTCTTATTTCTCTGTTTATCTGAGCCAAGGTCTATGGAAATGGGCACTTTCTTAACTAAATAGTACTTCATGTAACAATATGGACAAAAAACACTGAACTGTGTTAAATTTGGATAAAAGAAAAAAAAACATAGTACTTTGCCAAACCCGTGTACTTTGTACGCATTTACAAATATGAAGAAATCAACAGAAATAGAGTGTCAAATCGTATATGACCTCCTGATTGCTTGCTAGCAACATGCAAATCCAGTAGGACATATTTTCCTCAATGGGATTCACTAAATACACATGTATTTCAAAGGGTACCCAGTACAAATGACTAAGTGCTTAGAATCACAGTGTCTGGTGAAGTTTCAAATGTTCTCGGCGAATTTGTAGATACAAGTAATAGGGTTTTTGTGAGATATCATGATGTAGAGCAGAATTCACGTCTGTTCTGTGAATAAATCTTATGATATTCTATAATACTCCGAAAATTTTTCAGAAGGCCATGCATGGTCTCTCCCACCCTCTTTGCTCTGTTCATCCTTTGATGTGTTTGGTTGGTATCTGTTATGTTCAGAAGCTTGTTAATAAACTATCCACTAATAATCAGAAAAGCGGAAATGCATGGGAGTGCTCTTTGTCATGTTGAATAATGTTGGTGGACAAAGTTGCATTGAAACCATTGTTAATCATGCAGTAATTGGAAGCGAGGTATTTTCCCTTATTAAGATCTATACAGACATTCCATAAAGAAGAAAATGTGAATAAAGGCTTTTGCACTATATATTCGGAAACAACAAGTAATGTGTATTCAATCTGATTTAGCATGGTTTTCAAATGATGAAACTTTTATGTTCTACGAAATTTCCTTCAAGACAAGTCGAAATATATTACTTTTGCTAAGGTCAAAAATAGGATAGAAACACTCATGTAGGAAGATAATGATATTCCTCTCAAATTCATGTAGTCTTCGTCCATTTTATATTGGTTTCTTCTGACTTTTCCCCTCATACTTCTCAAGTTTTTTTCTTTCTTATTAATTCCTTTCTCAACTTACCTTCAGTTTTGATTGTTTACGAATGACCAAAGTTTGGTCTCGCCCTGAACATCTATCTAATCTTAGTTCATTTTCCCTTGTTTTTATGTCATTTCCCTTTTCTTCCTCTTGTTTATGTCGCAGAAATATTTTCCTCTATAACAAGAATATGAGACAAATGTAAATCGCATCTAATCGATTTACCTCTCATTCTTGATTGACAGTTGGATCTTAAGCCTACCAAACCGTGGGAAGGAGGATTTAGAGTCACGATGCTTACTCCGGTTTCCTTCAGTTTTGTTTTGTTTTTTGGGATTAGAATTGGTTCTCAAATTCCAGCGTCTTTTATATCTCGATTCTCTTGTGCCTCGTAGGAACAGTATCGTAGATAAAAAAAAAAAAGCTAGCGACGGTTATTATTCTTTAATTTTTTATGACCAAGCCACTTTTAGATACTGCTGTATCTATAAGTAGTGTATCTTTAAGTAGTATAAGCTCTTTAAACTGTCCTTATTGATTTTAATCTTTGATATATACATGACCCATTTTCCTCCTTATTGAAATTTACTAATATATTCAAGCGTGGGGTTAATCACGGTTTAAACACAATGATTCAACGCCTCTCATTTACTTGAATTAAATTTGGACACGGTGTAATTATTTTAGAAATTATCTTAAAAACTACTGGGAAGATCAATTTCTGAACATGCATCGATTAATATATAAATCTCAATAGCTTTTTAACCTAACATTCTTTTGTGAACTAATTAAATGCACATTTTGAAAATATATACGTATATTGCTATTAAACAAAAACGCATACAAGATATGATGACCTTTGCAATTTTCTGATAGTTCTTACATTCATGATTGAAATTTTCTTTTTTAGCATTTAGTTGCTGGGTCCTTTTGCATGAATAACAGCTTAAAAACTTTACGTTTGCTCTGAATTAAGTTTTCATATAATGTTTTTGAAAATGAGTACCATTTCCTTCACTCGTCTTTTCTAGTTTTTGGTATGTTATTTAAGTCTTCTTATTCCATCGTAAATTGCACTTTCAATGCTTTAGACTGAAATTCAGTCGTGATTGCTTGTCGACGGTTTTAGTGTAGGAAATGCATTGCGTTTGAGAAACTTTCTTGTGCTCATCTAGAGATACAGAAAGACCTAAGTATCATGAGTACTTATTAACTATTTCCTAGAAAACGATTTGTATATATTATTAAGCAGCATGCCATAACTGCAAAAGCTCAAGAAAGTTGCTCAGAAGATAATGTAGTTTCTACACTTCCGTTGCTTTGGAACAGCCCTGATTAAAGCTCGTACGTAACAACCGGGGTCATAAAAAGAAGACGACAATACTACAAACAGACAAGTTATAAATCAAAAGATATGTGGAAGGCATTCTAGCAAAAATGGTGCTCAAATAAAAAAAACAGATCTTCGAACACTGAAATCATAACATTCCTAAATGCATTAAGACTGTTATTTGTGCAAAAAGGGGGAAATGTAGTACTACAAAGTAAAATTTAGTAATAAATCAGGAATATCAAAAGCATATGTTATAATATAGTATGAAATTATGTAAATTTACCTGCGGAATTTATAAAATATATGTGTCGAAAAGAAAATAAAGCCACTCCAATAATTTTTTCAAAAAGTTTGAGTGCGTGCTTCACTCTTGTAGAGGGAAACATCAAAGAATATACATATAGAATTCATGCACACTATATACACGTACATATAAACACCAATGTATTTATATAATTATAGTTTCACATCTTTTGTTTTAACTATTAATTAGATAGTCTAAAATCTCTAGGAATTTTTTACAGACATAAAAGTTCTTGGCACATATAATGCACAACCTGATTTTACAAAATATATTTCTTTTCCCGGATGATATAACAAACGCTGTCAATACCTGGTGATATTCATTATTGGATGACGCTATAGTTGTCAATTAGGTGTGGCAGTAAATGAGAAAAAAGCTGACCTGGCGCCGAATTTCATGTATAACTTGCGTAATTAACATTGGAAAAGATAGCATTGTCCATAATTTTGCGGTTTATCGAAGTGTGTATCGATTTCATAAACAGTATAATAGTTAATTTAGTTTAAACCATATTTTATTTGAAAATGACAAGCAGAAAATACAGATACGTAGTACAAAAAAAAATCAAAAAGGATTCGGAAACAAGTTTGAAAACTTATACTAATCCGTTTCCTTATTATTATGATAAAGATGACAGACCCTTATTACATAGCTACATAACACGGTTTGAAGCTGCTTAAAAAAATATTTGAAATTGACATACATGTTAAGTTAGAAATCATGTCGTTTCACACAAATGAATGACGTTCTAATTATACAGAAGAAGCCTAATGGATTTGTACAATATGTATGTATGAGAGAGAAAAAAGCGACAAAATATGGTTGAATTTACAGGAAAAATAATTAAAGAACAAATGCAGGAGATTAACAGCAATAACAGATATTAATTCAAAATTAGGAAGAAAAATAACAATGAGGAAAAAAAATAAATAAAAATGACGCTTGCTACACACTTTAGAGAATATACACAAGAACATACCCACGGGAGAGGGCGTAGTGAATAGATACTAAGGAAAAACTGATTAAATAAATCTCTTGGTAGCTACAATATATTTTTGGACAGATTTCAAGATTGCAACATTTTCTGCCAGTGGTAGATTTTGGTCACCAAATAATAATATATTGGTGTTGATGTAACGTGGAAGTGAGTATATAAATCTGTCTCAGATTTTCAAAATAAGGACAATTTAGGAGGAAATGTTCAGAAGTTTCAATCTCGCCACAATTACAGTTTGGGATGCTGACAATATTTCGAGAAAATAAATTACTTTTTAGTGAGCTACAATCAAGTAGTAATCTTGTGTGTAATATCTGTTCCTTGCGTTTACCAGTATAATAATATTGAGGGGGTTTACGCTTTGCATTGTTGGCATTTAAATAACGTTTTAAAGGACAAGGTATGGTAAAGGCCGAATCTGGCCCCTTATTTGATGTAAATATCAGAACACAGTTAAAATCGTGATACTGTGTAGTTAAGAACTTAAAATGATGCTTGTTTTAAAATCAGCACTAATTTTGATTCAAGGCTTACACGGAGGCCACAAGAGGGTGCAAAAGTAGGACATTTTCCCGAATTTCCTCAATTCTGGTCGAATTTCGTCAAATTTGAGATACTTTTCACTTTGGAAAACATAGAGCACAAGCTTGCTTGCTTGCTTGTCTGAGATTTTTATACATAAGATGCATCTGATAATAGTGTATGAAATATGTAAATTTGGTAGATAGGCAAGCTTGTGCTCTATGTTTTTTGAACAAAAATGTGCCGTAAAATCGATGAAAATTTGCATAAAAATGAGAAAATTCGGAAATTGACATAGTTTCTGACCTTCCTGTGACCTCTGTGTATCCCATAACTTAGAACCAATACTCATTTTGTGGCAAGGGTGACAACAGGTTTTTAACGGATAAACTGTTGCATCACTT